CCAGTGAGGCGAGTTGACACCGGTATTGAAAAACTTGTTGCGCCGGTACTTTTATTTTGGGGCTCCGAAGTTAGCGAAACTATTTAAAACTGACTTAAAAAAAGGAGGTTTACATTTCGACTGTACGTTATTTTTTAATATTTTGTATGTATGTTACGCGATTTCTTATCTTAATGTAAAAACTGAGTTCAAAGAACTAAAAGAAGACAATAATTCTATATTCTGAAGTTGGGGATTCAATTCTTCTATACACCATGTCCTACTATCTACATCAGAAAGTGCAATTATTTTCTTTTATTTTATTAATTTTAATTACTGCTTGTGAAATTCGCCCAAGGTACCACCACAATTTGAACCGTGGTAACTCAAGAGCTAAGCACTCGCTTTAAATTTTACAGAACTCGAGCAACCCGAGTTCGATCCACGCCGGCACCAATGTAATTGTTAATTGCAATTTTAAGTGCTGATTTACCACGTGCTTGCAGGTGAAAGAAAAGAACGTAAGGAAACGTCAGAGAAAGTAAAAATACATTTTGAAGACATTTGTACCACGCCAATACGCACTGGGGTATCGCGACCGACATTTCCCTTCCTCTTAAACCCTCTCAAAAATGGGAGGAGGCCTATGCCGAGCTGCGGGATGCATACAGGCTAACTTTACCATGCGTTTACCTTTTGAAGAATAAGAATGCTGTGGCAATATTGCTGTAGCTTATGATGAGCTAGTGACTGGTCCGTTGCTGCAACTTAATGTCGCTTTTTTTTGTCTTTAATTTCTTATGTTGTATTGTGATGTGGCTACGAATAAACATTATTTTCCTCTCTTGTTTCTTTTTTATTTCTTTGTTTTATTCGTTGTCACTCCTAGTACTGCTCATCTCCTGTTTTATTTTTCTCTGTCGCCTCTTACGTCACCCACAGGGCGATATGGGGTAATGGATATTTTTCATCATACTATATATATATATATATATATATATATATATATATATATATAGCATATAGGCAAATCTCAGTTTTAAATATAAACGTGAGATAAGTTGATAAAATTTTGTTCATAGACTGATATTCTACATAATGTTTCATCATTTTCAATAAACTTTTTAATCTTTAAGTACCTGTTTTTAATCCACTGACAAGCGGCCTTACCAATTTCAACCCTGAATAAATCTAACACACCTAAGGTCCATAAAGTAGTTTTAGTTATTGTTTATTCAAAGTATATTTCAAAATTCATAACAATTAAAATCATGCAACTTATTTTATTTTTCTTTGATTTTTATTTGCTTTCATTATTTAAAACATCAAAATACTAAACCTAAGCTAAGCCGGCTAGTGTAAATAATATAGTTAAGAGCCAAATTAACAGTAACATAGATTTCGTGGCCCAACTTCATTTGCATGTGTTAAATATTCTGTTATTTACTTAGCGTTATTGCACTAAAGCCGAGATGATATGAGAATCAAGAAAGTAATACCTATTAAGCAGTTTAAATTGGAGGAATTAACTGTTAGCAATAATGAACCTAACCGTGTAATGGCGGTGTAAGAACCACTACCCCGTATCGCCCGTGGGCGTCGTAAGACGTGACAGAGGGAAATTGAAATAGTAGACGATAGTATATTGTCGGCTCCGTGGCGCAGTGGCTTAGCAATGAGCTGTAGCGCTGGGGGCCGCGGGTTCGAATCCCGCACGGAACAAGTATTTGTATGGCCTACAAATGGTTGTTCCGGGTCTGGATGTTTGTCCTCGTGTAATTTATGTTTGTAAACTGCCTCCACGATACAGGAGAAAATCCTAGTGTGGTGGTAACGCTAAAATAATAGTATAGTATAGCAAAACAAAATAATAAAAGGGCTTTGTCAACCCGCTGTCAAGCGTGGCAACTATAGCCAATCTCCCTTATAACATAATCAATGGAGGACGCCTAACGACTATATTAAGCAGTGGACTTTTATGACAGTAATACAATAGTGTGTATAGTGTACGTGGTAGAGCCAAGCTGCAGCTATATTTATAGCATATGCATATTAACTATATTAGTAGAATAGTTGTAGCACGAATGGGTCGGCTCGACCGGGGAAGGACCACGCTCTCACAGAATACCAACGTAAAATAGCAGCTTAACCCTGCTGTGTTTCGTATGGTGAGTGTAGAGAACCAGAGACCCTTTTTACTGGAAATGAGACATTCCATCTTAGTCCTCATGGGTGACAACACATCTGCATTTTGAGTCTTTATTGAGGATAAATGTAGATGTCTATGGGTCACAGTAACCACTTAACATCAGGTGGACTGTGTGCTCGTTTGTCAGCCAAATCCTATAAAAAAAGCATAGTTGTAGCACGAATGGATGGAAAAGAGGCATTTCATCTTAGTCTTTAGGGGTGACAACGCATTTGCATTTTGATTCGCAAACGAGGATAGATGTAGATGTATATGGGCCTCAGCAACCAATTACCATAAGTTGGACTGTGTGCTCGTTTTTCACCCTATTTCTATAAAAAAATGTATCAAAAAATTTATAAAATATATTATTTCCTATTATCTCTCATATGAGTTATTCGTTTTCTTTTATTAATTTCCGTAAAATAGCCAGAAAGTCGATGAGAAGCACTATCAATGTTGTGAGACGTTTGGTATTGCTGAAGAAGAAGAAAAAGAAAATGGGATGAGTAAAGTAGAAGTCTCCTTCTTCATTATTATCTTTATTATTGCAGCCTATTAAAGTATAAATTTCCCTATGTCTTCCCCATACTTGCCATAGTTGTACACGCCACACTTGGTAAGTAGTCTTTAATTCTCTACCTGTTATGAGAAAGATGCTGCTGCAACACCCATAGTACCATATGGGGTAATGATTATAGAAACATTTATTTGAGCAACAAAGAACATTAAGAAACATTTCGCACAAATTACAAATTGGTAACTAAGCAGTTGTGTGATCTCAAAATGATAAGAAACACAATAATAATGAAAAATAAATCAAGTAATTATTACTATAGACCCAGAAACCAAATTGCAATGAACCATATTCTTACACGTCTAGGTACGATAAAAGTCTAACTATTTATAATTAAATTAACATAGTGGATATTCTTATACTGCTACTATATGGATGAGGGTCCTACTCAGTGAACCCTTATTTCATGGGCCTTTTTCGTTGTATGAAAGGTTTGACTTCATCGTCATGCTATGCAGGGTGGATTGACGATCACATTTTCTGAACTCTCGCACCTTTTACGCTTCTCCCCGTCGATATTTTATCGATTTACATATTTTTTATTTTGTATGAATACCTTTTTATCTTAAAAATATATTGGTAATGCCATTATTATCGGTTTAAACGTCACTAAACTTTAATAAGTCCCAACCAACAAAAAAAAGATGGACGGAGCGCTACGTACATTTCAAGTGACGTTGAAACCATGCTCAATTTCTTGACAATCTGATAAGATATGCAGGATCACAGGTACAGGTGGCTCCGGACCGTGCTCTATGGCATCCCCTAGTGGAGGCCTATATTTAGCAATGGATTTTCGAAAGGCTGCATTCTTGATGATGATGTGTATCTTGTGTTGAAATTGATTAATAAAAGAAGTCATTACCAATCCGCCTGCTAAAAGTTGTTTTATGACTATAAAGAAGCTCATATCAAGTTTTGAAAGTAATAAAACAGTATGTAAAGCGAGCAGTTACAGTGTCATTTCTAAGAGGGTTACAGAGTGATTATTCTGCAGCGCTGGAGCATGTCGGCAAATTTGACGTTCGTCACGTCTTCGAAATATCCTTGGGCAAACAGATTTTCTCACGGTGTTTTCTTCACTGTCTTACACGTGGTAAATGAGCACTTAAAATTTTATTGGTGTTGGTGAGAAATGAACCAATGCTGCTAGCGTTCTGTGAAATTTATGTCGAGCGCTAATCCCCTGAGCTATCACGGCTACGGCTAAAATAAACTTAATGCTCTGCTCTGACGGCTCTTGCGCTGGGGGCCGCGGGTTCGAATCCCGCACGGAACAAGTATTTGTGTGGCCTACAAATAATTGTTACGGGTCTGGATGTTTGTCCTCGTGCAATTTATGTTTGTAAACTGCCTCCACGACACAGGAGAAAATCCTAGTGTGGAGGTAACGTTTTGATAAAAAAAAAATATTTAAAAAAAACTTAATACTTATGAAATTGAAGTGATAAACTAACTTGCAGTCCGCCTGATGGTAAGTAACTGCTGCAGTCCATTGGCAATCAACTTTAAAAAAAGAAGGCCGAAAAAAAGAAGAACTACTACTACTCGGTCTCTCTATACGCTACAGACTGGAACACAGTAGTGCATGTACTGCCATTTGTCGGCAAAATAGGTAAAAGTATGGTACCTACCCAGACGGGCTATAGGCAGGACAGTCCTATCACAATGTTAATTAGTAATGTTATATGCACAAATAAAATTATAATATTTCGCAAAGTTTACGAGGTAGAGCCACGCTGCAGCTATATTGTAGTTGTAGCACGAATGGCTAGCTCGACCAAGGTAGGATCACGCTCTCACAGAATACCAGCGTAAGCTTCATGATGCTGTGTTTCGTATGGTGAGTGTAGAGAACCGGAGACCCTTTTTAGTGGAAAAGAAGCATTCCATCTTAGTCCGTAGTTAAATTTACAAGCAATGCTGTCTTTGTGAATTCGCTCAGAGTACAACAGAACAGGTCCGTCTCACTAGCTATTAAGTTGAGCGTATGGAGTGCGCGCGTCAGAGGGTCTATGGGTCATAGCATCCACTTAATATCAGGTGGACTGTGTGCTCGTTTGTCACCCTATTCTATAAAAAAAATATTTCGGTTTAAAAATGAATGCGTAGTTGTAAGGTTTTATCGTTTTATATTATAAATTACATTCATATCCAATGATAAAAATAATTAAAATATTCTTTACAATTTTTGCTTAAAACTAAACTTACGATAATAATCACAATCATGACAATACAATTGGAATTCACTTTGAATCACGTTTGACTGTTCCCTAAACCCATATTCATAGCATTTAATAGGTCACCATTGTCTGCATCTATCTCCCACGCGAATAGACCACCCAACTTATTATTTCTTACATATTTACCTTTCTCAATAACCGATCGCGGATTATCGTAAGTAATTAGGTCACCTGTCGAGGGCCTGAACACATATGGTGCTTGTGCAACATTGTCGTAGTGGAATTCCCATTTTCCCATTGCAATTTCATTCGCAATCTCTCTGTAATCAACCACACCGTCTTGCCATGTGCCCTTAACTGGTCCTGTTGCGGTACCAGTGAACGGGTTGTTATCAACGTACCCGTTAACACCGGTCCACCCACGGCCGTACATAGCTACACCAACAACAATCTTTTTAGGGTTAACTCCTTGAGCTAGTAAATATTTCACACCAAAGTCAGTGGTATAAGTTTCTTTTGGTTTCCAAGCGGGAGCGTAAAGTGGTGTCTGATGACCAAGTGTGTCATTGGACCAGGCGCCTTTAAAATCGTAGCTCATGAGGAATATATGATCCATGTATTTTTGTGCTTCATTGTAGTCAACAACTTGGATTTTATCCCATCCAGCGCTGATAGCAGAGGTCAGCTCGTACTTCTTACCGGTTTCTTGTGAAAGCTCATTTAACATTTCACGAAGCTCTTTCATGAGCTCAACGTAAACTTGTCCATCTTCCGGACTGCCAAGATTTGGGTTGGCACCTTTGCCACCAGGGAACTCCCAATCGATATCCACGCCGTCAAAGAACTTCCAGGTTTGGAGGAAATCTTTAACAGAGTCAACAAAGCGAGTTCTCTTTGTTTTATCGGTGAAGAAGAAGAAAGGATCAGCGAGAGTCCAGCCACCAATAGACGGAAGTACCTTAAGATCGGGTCTCGCTTGTTTGAGCTCCATAAGCTGACCAAAATTGCCTTTGTACGGTTCATTCCAAGAGGACAGTCCTTTTTGTGGTTTTTGCAGTGCAGCCCAAGGGTCATGAATAGAGACTTTGAAATCTTCACGGCCGCTGCAAGAGCGCTGAAGAGCTTGAAAACTGCCTTCGATTTCTTTTAAACTATCGTTAATACCATCACCTCCGCAAATCGGTATGAAACCATACAGAAGATGAGTTAAGTTAGGAATTGGAACACGGTCGACTGGGAACTTCCTTGGATATACACCCCATTCAACAAAGTACGCCCCAACCACTTTTCCTGAAGTCTGCTTAAATGGTTTGTTCTTCTCTCCTATTGAATAATCTAATGGAGGCAAATGGCTGCCATCCGTGTCTGCCACGATTATCTCCGTAGGATCGCTAGAGCTGCAGCCATCGGAATTACACACCTCGACCTTCATCTGATATTTCCCACCCTTTTTTACTTTGAACGTAGCAGTCGATGACACTCCCGAAGGGCCGGACCAATATTCTTCGCCGTTAAGTAGGACTCTAGCTTTATCAGCCGGATCTCCTGACCAAACGTTCCACGTCACTGTGACTTCTGCTGCATCTTTCTTCTTGACGAGCTGGTTGTAAGCAGTTGCCGCTTGGTTAACTTCAACTATCGAGAAGACTCTCTCTCCCCAACCAAGGGAGGGTTTTCCAGGTGGTCCACATTTGACAAAGGCGAGCAAGCCTACTCCGAAGAGCAACTTCAGCATATGATGCCTCATAGCCGGTTCTAAAAAAAATAATAAATAAAATTAAAAACTAAACGCGAACTTCGGCTGAAGCGGTACACAGAACTGAATATGCATCCGCGCGATGTCTTTTATATACTGAGAATATTGTAGGCCAACCGCTAACATGGAGGAGCCTGCGTCGTCGAGCGGAATGTTGATACTGGAGTGATTTTAAGAGTCGTGATAATAATCGTTAGCCCAGTTTTTTTGTCCCGGTTACCTTTAAGAGGCCAAGGTGACAGATGAGTTTAATTGTTTCCACTAATATATTTTTCGGAAGTTTGACGCGACACTAATCGAACGTATCCATTACAAACGTATGAATCAGAGTAACAGTGCTGATGTTATCTACGAGTATAAGATAAGGCGTCACATAAACATTGAATTAAAGACAAAGAATTTTAACGTTTAACTGAAGTAAATGTTTACTTTTCAAATATTAAAATAAAAACCAATAAATAAAATATCTTTGTTCAGTTATTAATAATTCAAATACTATGTGATATTGTTTAGAAAAAAAATGTTTTTATCCTTTATTGCAGTCACTTTAAAATCTGGGGTTACAAAGAGCAGATTTGATGCCCAATGGTATTCTCTACTAATCAGTCCTGGGAAAGATGTAATAAATAAAGATGTCGGTAGGTGCAAATTAGGGTCTATTCTGCTTAAATACATTATATAAGTATGACTTTGACACACACACAAACACAAAAATATGTTCTTAAAAAGTTAATTGAAATGACAACACAATTAGATATATTACACGCTTTATGTTATCTTGACTTGTATGTACTTATGTGTGTATGTATGTAATGAAATTTTAGAAAATAGTTTTCACCCACTTTGAAACGTTTTAACAATATGAAATTTTGCAGACGTATTTTGAACCAATGACAATACAATAATTTCATGCTTTTTACCTATGACCTAGTATTCTCCGTAGGATCATCACAGCTCATAAACGATATGTCGTTTAATTATTAAACTCATTATTATTTTAGTATGCGAATCGATTGTAACTTAGACGACGCATTAGCTTGTTATTACGTTTTTAAGGTACAAATCTTTATTGCCCTCATTACCTACTTTGAAATTTAATACATTATATTAATTTTTACGTGGTAGAGCACTAGATAGTTGTAGCACGAATGGGTCGGCTCGACCGGGGAAGGACCACGCTCTCACAGAACACCAGCGTAAAATTGCAGCTTAACTCTGCTGTGTTTCGTATGGTGAGTGTAGAGAACCGGAGACCCTTTTTACTGGAAATGAGGTATTCCATCTTGGTCCTCACGGCTGACAACACATCTGCATTTTGATTTGTAACAGAGGATAGATGTAGATGTCTATGGACCGCAGTAACCACTTACCATCAGGTGGACTGTGCTCGTTTGTCACCTTAATCTTATAAAAAAATAATTAAATATTGAAATTAATAATACCTACTTAAATAAATATACAGTATGTACATAACTGAAATGATGCTGTGGCAAAAAACCATTTAGTTAATAGGACGGCTATATCTGGGGAAAATGGAAGATCTCTGTTACTGTATTTCATCAATGAGTCTTTTATTACCTAATGTTATAATATTATATATTACTGATTCTTTACCAAACCTGTGTAGTTTTTTTTTAAATGTTCACATCTTAATAGGATCGTAGGCATCCCTTATATAATTTTTACTCAACTTCATCGTAATAATTAATTTCTCTTAAAATTAAAGTATAGCCATTCATCGGGGAAACGCAGCCAGCGTTCTTGGCACGATACCGCGGGGAGTAGGACTATATGATAATTAAGTTTCTAGTTTTAGTTTTTTTTTTATTATCATAGTTTTTAATATTGTAGATTAAAAAATAATGTACAATGTATATTTAAACTTGTCTCTTAAAATATTTTCAATCTCCATGTCAACAATCACGATCTTAAGTCACGGACTGTTCGCACTCAGATTAGAGCATATCAAGTACACACACTCGAGAGTAGAGTTTCGTTTATTAATCAGTGCGTCACTCAGGTGATATCGTATTCATATTCATATTCATATTCATATTATTTATTGCATCCATAATGTTACAGTTAAGGTGTTGAGAACATTTTAAGTTTTAACATAAAACTATGAGATCATTATGGTTCCTGCAGGGCACGGCAATTAAGAGAGAGGAGGGCCATTATAGTGAAACAATAATGATAAATAAACTTTGAAATAAAAATAGAATTGAAATATTAGGTAGATATTCAAAATTTATCATTTAAGTATTCGTTTAGTATGTTTACAAATTAAAAAATCCTTAATTTTATTTATAAAAATAGTTTCTTTTTCTATATTTATTATCAAGTATGGAAGTTTGTTTTAAAATTTTGATAGACATGACGAAGGGACCTGATGAATGTAGCTTAAGGCGAGTTAAGGGTAGAGTAAAACGTAAACCTAAGCCGCATCTTGAGATATGTTTGTTAAGATCATATAGGAAGATCATAACCTCAAGATTATACTTAAGTACGTGTACTTGAACTGAGTAACGTTTATTAACACGGGCCTTAATGATTTCTTATATTTACGCGAGTATTATACATTGAATGAAACAAATTTTACGGATTTTATTGCGTTTAATTTTCAACACGATAAAATACGTAATAATAGTTTAATATATCCGTAAAATAGTTAAATAGTATTAGGAATACTTTAATATATCCGTAAAAATAGTTTAATTCAATTGTTAACACTTAATTTAAGCACTTACTTTGATAATCCTAACACTAATTTAAATAACTATTCGACATAACCGAATGTTTCGTATATAAACAAGAAAGTTTTACTTGTACACAGGAATTCTCGGTCGCTATGCAGGCAATATTAGACATTCCCTAAATCACGATCCTAAAGTTACTTTAATTTTGAGGCTTACATAATACAGCAAGTTACAACACTTGATATTAAAACTATTGCATTAATAATGAAATTCTTCTCACAGTTTATTGTAATATATATAATGTTCATGACGTCTAGATTAGATAATTTATGATCCTTTTTACAGCAAACGAGACATTCCATCTTAGTCCTCACGGGTGACAACGCATCAGCATTTTGATTCGTATCGAAGATAGATGTAGATGTCTATGGGTCACTGCAACCACTTACCATCAGGTAATCTGTGTGCTCGTTAGACACCCCTATCGTATAAAAAAGGCAAAATAAAAAAAGGAGGACGTTCTCAATTCCTCTCTCTACTTTTTTGTCTGTATGTTACGTGACACGTTCGCCTATTATGAATGGATTTTAATGATTCTTTTTTTTATTAAATATGGTATACTTAAGGGTGGTCCCACGTAAATTTCATAAAAAAAACCATCCCTAAGGGGGGAAAATATAGCATATAGTTTTTAATATATTCAAATGACATTAGACCCGATGATATTATTCCAAAGCCTACTCAAAATTTTAACTTTTTACTTAAATTTAAAAGTCAAAGTTACAGCCTATATACGTACTACTGCTGGTCACAAGCCTCCTCTCATTTCTGAGAGGGTTTTAGATCCGCCACGCTGCTCCAATGCGTGTTGGCGAACTGCATGTCTTCGAAATATTTTTTTTTATTTCTCAGATATGCAGGCTTCCTCACGATATTTCCCTCCACGGCCGAGTACGTGGTAAATCAGCACTTAAAATTGCAAGTAACATTTTTATTGGTACCGGCGGCGATCAAACCCCGGTTGCTTACGTTCTATGAAATATACAGCGAGCGCTTTGTCCTTGAGCTACCTCATATAATCATCATTACAGCCTATCACAAGTCCACCACTGTTGAAGAAAGGTTCTCAAGTGGCAGCCTCTGCAAGTCTCCGGCCCTTCACCAGACACAGTAATGACCTGGTAAGAGATGCAGGCGGCTCAAGACCATGCTTTGTTGCGTTTTAGGGGCAGGCCAATAGCACATAATCGAATCAAACTCTACAATGGTCTGCTACTGTGAAGCGTTCCAAGCATATCAAATAAATTATCAAATATATATTTTTAATGGGACCACCAATGCCGCCATTGGTAATGCTTTCTCATATTTACGCGACGACTACACATTAAATGAAACTAATTTTTACGAATTTTATCGCGTTTAATTTTTTAAGCATACCTCAGCAAGACTTCAAGATACTATAAGATCATTTTGTGTAGATGGGACCAAAAATTAATACACAAAACATGAAGGTAGCCGGGCTAACCATGACATCGGGAGGTAAATATCTCAGTCCCCCCCCCCCCCCCTCCCGTGACCATGGGTGCTGTAAATCACCCGAAACATTTGAAATTAAAAAGTTAAATTAAATGCGACAAAATCCGTAAAAATTAGTTTCATTTAATGCCGCCATTGATGTTATCATAATTCACGTAAAGTCCGCCCCTATCCCACATCAATTATGTCTTGCTCGTTTAATTTAAATATCTGCATTCTTTCCATTTGACTGTGTCAAGGTTTAATCCTAAATATTTATTCTAGATTACTCTTGTATATTTTACTGTCAGTTGTTACATTCTATGACAGGTCAATTTTTTTTATAGGATAAGGGTGACAAACGAGCACACAGTCCACCTGATGGTAAGTGGTTGCTGCGGCCCATAGACATCCACATCTATCCTCTATTAAAAATCAAAATGTAGATGCGTTGTCACCCGTGAGGACTAAGATGGAATGCCTCATTTCCAGTAAAAAGGGCCTCCGGCCCCCTGCACTCACCAAGCGAAACGCAGAGGTAAACTTCTACTTCACGCTGGTCTTCTGTGACGTCGTGGTACCACCCCGGTTCGAGCCGGCCCATCCGTGCGACAGCAAAAGCTGCCGCGTGGCTCTACCACTGTTTAACAATTGCTTGGTAGCGGAGTTGCTCAGCGTTTGGTAAGCATGAACTGGTTCAAATCCTGAACGGAATGAACATTTTATAACACAAAATAATTAATCTATAATTATAAAAAAAATCGATGTGTCTGTCCGCAA